ATCAGTGGGTTCCTCCTGCTCCGGAACCTTCTCAGACCGTTCAGAGCCTCAGGGCCTTGGCAGTGTTATCTTGGGGTGTCTTTCCCGATGCTCTCAACTCAAATGTCATCTCCTGACCACCTCTCCACTCGCTCTCTCAATTCCTTCACAGCATCCATCAGATCTATCATTATCTGGTTTATTGACTTGTTGAGTATCTGTCCCCTCCCCCTCTTCCCATGAGGAATGGCAGCTCTAGAAGAGCAACAGCCTCCTCTGTCTTATTTTCTGCTAAATCCCAGTGGCTACAACTGTCGACATAGAGGAGGTTTTCGAGGAATGGTTATTAAATGAATGAACAACTGAACGCAAAGAGTAGACAAGTGCCCCTGGATTTTTGAAGTCATCTCTCTGGACTTCCAGCTCCTCATTTGCCAAAAGGGGATGCACGCGCCCTCCTCTCTAGCCCTTTTCAGCAATGCATTTCTGGCCTCAGACAGGATCCTTAGCTAAGCAAATCCAGGTTCTCTTTCGGTGCAATACTGATAGTGCCAGTGGGTGGCAGCAAGATACTGGAGTTGAATCATGACAAAACTTGGGCTACCCAGGGCACAAAACATCTGAAGTTTAATCTCCCAACAGCCAAACTTGTTTATTTTCACCATACCTTCTTTTTTTTTTTTTCCTTATCCTCACCCGAGGATTTTTTGTTCAGATAAAGTGGGAGGGAGAGAGAGTAAGAGAGAGAGAGAGAAACATCGACGTGAAAGGGACACATCGAGTGGCTGCCACCCACACGACCAACCAGGGCAGGGTACAAACTGCAACTGAGGTACGCACCCTTAGCAGGAACCGAACCCGGGTCTCTCTGGACCTCAGGCTGACAATCTAACCACTGAGCCAAACGGGCCAGGGCCAAAATGCAAAACTTTCTTAAACACAGTGCCCATGCCCCTGATGCCCAGAAGGGAGAACACTGAACTGACATCTGGATTAAAATCCCAGCTCCGCTACTCACTGGCTGAGTGAGTGACCCAGGTCATTTGCTTCTATGAAGTAGGGGTCATTATGAGAATCCAGCAGATAAAGAATGTAGAAGGACAGCTTTTGGGGTCTAGAAAAGGCTTAAGGACTGCAGGGGGCTCAAAGCTTGGGGGTAGCCAGCCCCAGATGGAGTCTGCTCCTGCAGAGACCCCCATGAGCTCCTCACGCTTGAAGCCGTCTCCTTCTTTGACTCTCTTCACCCCCACTCATTCTACACCTGAACCCAGCTGAACGTGGCTGAAGAAAAAACACCACCTGACCAGCCTCACTCTAAAATGACTCCCACAAACACCAAGTAGGCGCCTGGGCTGGCAATGTGACCCCATTGTACCGGTCCATTCAGTCCAATCACTCTTGCTGTGATTTTCCCACCTGTGGGAAAACAAAACAAGCCTCTCCTGCAAACACCAAGAACCTCCCCACCCCTGCCTCCTCCCTCTTGGTCATGACCTTGTGTCTCTTCTTTCACTGAAAAGAGAAACAGTCAGAAGAGAAATCCGCATTCTCCCACCAACATGTGCCCTCAGTGTGCACTGCCCTCCTCCTGTACCGGGAGGCACTGTCCCAGCTCTCATCCGGGACACACCCTCCCTTCACACACAGGACGCTAGACCCTCCCACCCACCCCACGATTTGCTCCTGGGGCTCTCTCCTCTCTCATCTGCATCTTAATGATCTCCTCTATTAATCCACCCCATGATCTCCAAACAAGATCTAATACTTCTCCTCTTAAAATAAACCCTCAGAAAACTGCAGAAACATCTTCCAGCCACCCTCCTGTTTCCTGCTCCGCTCTACAGCACACGCCCTGCCCCCCGAACATCCTCTCTGGACCCCACTGCGCCAGCCTTCCTTGGCACTGAAACGCCGTGGTGAAGATCCCCAATGGCTCCCTTTCCCAGTTCTGAGCTCAGCCCTCACCCCACCAAACACAGTTGAAGGTTCCTTCCTTCTTTATTTTTTATTTTTTTTACCCTCACCCGAGGATATTTTTTCCATTTTTTGTACAGATAGAGTGGGAGGGAGAGAGAGGAAGGGAGAGAGAGAGAGAAACATCGACATGAAGGGACACATCGAGTGGCTGCCACCCGCACGACCAACCAGGGCCGGGGACAAACTGCAACCGAAGTACGTGCCCTTAGCGGGAACCGAACCCGGGTCTCTCCGGACCGCAGGCCGACGCTCTAACCGCTGAGCCAAACTGGCCAGGGCTCCTTCCTTCTTGATACGTTTCTTCTCTTGGTTTCTGTGACATGTATCTTAGCTATGGACTTCCCTTCAAGTCTAAGCTGAGCACCCCAGAGGTTCATCGAGTGAGATGATGGCCATGTTCATACCTCTGGCCAATGTCCATATCTCTCCCCCATGTCCATAGGTCTCAGCCATGTTCAGCCCTCTCTCCCGTGTTCATCCCTCTTTCCCATGTCTATATCTGGCCAGGAGCTCACATTTGACTAAGCTGGCAGTGAATAGGCTTCTCAAACCTGCCTTGTCCAAACTAGGCTTTCCATTTAAACCCGAAACCTGCTTTCCCCTCCCCGCTGACATTGTCCTCATTTGTGAACTGCTCCAACCAAAAGCCCAGGAGATGATCCCGATTCCTCTCTGCCCATACCCCACTTCTAACCCCTCGGCAAATTCTCCTGATTTGGTCTTTACAGCCTGCCCTGAGCCTGGTCCTCCTCACCAGCTGCACCGTGACCACCCAGCATTTGCAGGGGTTGGCAGGAGCCCCTCAAGCTGTCTGTGCATTCTCTCTCTGCATTCACCTGCTCAAACCCTCCACGGCCTTCCCCTTCCTCAGAGCAGTCAAAGCCCTGCCGCACCAGCAGGCTTGAGACTGGCAGCCCCTGGATCTTCCTCCTTCCTCATCTCCTCACACCTCCTCTCACTCACTCTGCCACCCACACAGACTCTCGGGCCCCTTTTGGACTTTCTGTTTTTAATGCTGGGACTCTCTGACCCAGCTAAACTTCAGGGCTCTGCTCACATCCCGAGCGCTCAGAGGCCTCCTTGCCCCTTTACCTAAAATAGCACCCATCTCCTATTCTTCCCTATTCCTTTGCCCTGTTTTAATTTTTCTTCACACTTGCTTCCACTTCATTTTATCACATTTTTATGTGTTTTCTTCTGCTCTGTTTTTCCCCAACTGGGCTTAGAACAGTGACAGATACAGATTAGGCCACCACATTTTATTTCATGAATAGATGGACAGATGAATGGATGGATGGACAAACAAATAGATGGATGAATGAATGGATAGATGGATGGATGGATGGATGGATGCATGCATGGAATCATGGATGGATGGATGGATGGATGGATGGATGGATGGATGCATGGATAGATGGATGCATGGATGGATGCATGGATGGATGCATGGATGGATGGATGCATGGATGGATGCAAGGATGGATAGATGCATGGATGGATGGATGGATGCATGGATGGATGGATGCATGGATGGATGGATGGATGGATGGATGCATGGATGGATGGATGCATGGATGGATGGATGGATGGATGGATGCATGGATGGATGGATGGATGCATGCATGCATGGATGGATGGATGGATGGATGGATGGATGGATGGATGGATGGATGGATGGATGGATGGATGGATGGATGGACGGACAAATCCCACAGGACAGCACTTACAAGGCAAAACATAAAACACACCAACAGCTCTTGCATCTGAATAAAACTTTATGCTTATCTAGAACCCACTCATATTTGTACTTCCAGACACCGTTGAGGGGGTAAGGGTGGATATCTCCACCCCCAACTTTCAGGATATGGGAATAGGGGAATGAGTGACAGAACCGAAACGCTGCCCGAGCCCTCTGGCTTCCTCAGGTGGCATCTGCAGCCCGCTCCTTCTCCTCACATGTCTGTGGGGAGAAATCTCTCTCGCCCACAGATGCTGGAAGATTCCTCTGGTCTTGGCTGAGTTGTGGAGGCAGTAGCAAGGTTGATGGGTGGGGAGAAACATTTGCAGAAGCTGAGGATCAAGGAATTCTCATCAGGTGGAGCCTAAAAAGGATATGGAACCCAGAGGTGAGTGGCTTTGGCCTCTGAGACCCACTGACCCTCACGCGCTGCAGAAACATGACTGGTCATCCTAATGTGTCCCTACCCCACCTCTGCCAACATCTTTTCCTGTAGGACACATTCTCTCTTTGAGCTCGGAACTTCTTAAATATTGTTTTTAAGGTTCTAGTGTGCCTGGGGGCACACAGTAGCATCTGCCCTACTTCGGAATTGGCTGTAGCCATACCCTCTCCATCCACCCTCTCAACCTGGGGGTTTCTTAAGGCCAAGGACAGGTCAGGCACCCTCATGCCTGGCCCACTAGCTGTGTGGCCAGGTGCTGTGCATGCTCCCTGAGGATGGAGTGGTCTCTGGCAGGAAGGGCCCAGGATCAGGACCAGCCAGAGTCAGGCCCTGGACGTGAACAGACCTTGAATGAGGATTTGCACTGTATCACTTAATCCCCTCAATAACCTTGCAAGGAAGTTACTAATGTCATTCTCACTCCACAGGCGGAGAAACGGAGGTTCTGCCCACACTGCCAGTTTGTGGTAGAGCCTGGATTCACTCCAGGCCTGTCTGATTCCAAAACCAGTGTCTTACACTAAGAAGGAAAAATGTCAGGCAGTGGCCATTCCATGACACAGCCTTCAGGGGGTGCATGTAATGACACCAATTTCTGAGCCCTACTCCACCCAGGGCCTAGGGAATTAGGAGCAGGGAGGGTGGGTAGACTGCCCAGAGGAACTAGCCCAGTATCCAGATGGATTTGGGGTGGGGGGGACCCACTAGTTTTGAATCCAAAATGTTTCCTCATCATTTCAGAGGCACCCAAACCTCTGCTTTCCCAGTGTTAACTCTTCCCCACCCCCACCATTGCCCCCAAGATTTCCCACATGGGCGCACCCAGGTGTCTGGATCCTCTTCATTCGGCCGCATCCCAGCTTAAGGCGCTGTCTCCAGGAGGCTCCTATGGGAAGGTTGTACCAGCAAAGGGGTGTTCTAGAGCCCTCTCCACCACAGTGGGGAGCGAACCCTAGGTGTGGCAGACAGGGACCCTCGGGAAGAGGCTGTGAGAGCCTGAGGCTGTAGGGAAGGAACATCTGACGAGGGAACAGAGACCAGTCAAGACAGGTCAGAGCAGAGAGAAGCCTTGGGCATGGGACCAGGGTCAGCTGGGGCCAGTGTGCTGCCTGCTTTGTCCACAAGGCGTCTGTACTTTAGATTTCTCGTGTCCACCCAGGTGGGCTGGCCTGGAATTACTGGCTAGGGACAGTAATCGAGTCACCCCCATAGACAGTGTCAAAGATCAGTCAGACTTTGCTGGGGCAGGAGGGGAGTACAGTATTTCCCGGGCCTAGGAACCCAGAGCTCAGCCCCCACTCCTTGTGCCAAGCTCAGATTCTGGTGACAGCCCCCGCACACCCAGCCCAGACACCTGAGCTCGGGTCTCATGGTGTAGTAGATGGAGGTGAGCGGGAAGCCATTGAAGGTGGAGCTCATGACCAAAGTGTAGGCTCCCATGGAGGGGAAGATGAGCCAGTCACCCACGTCCAGCTCGGGCAGCTGCACCTCCTCCTCAAAGAGCTTGTCAAAGGCATCGCACGTGGGGCCATAAAGGACGCAGGGGAAGAGGGGCGGCTTCGAGCAGAACTCCTGCAGGGACACAGGGTTGGGGAACGAGAGAAGGAAGATCTCCTGCCCCCAACACATCCTCCCAGCACAAGCCGTAGGCAACAGAGCACCCCAAGGCAAAAGTGGGAAGGCACCAGCAAGGACACTGTCAGTCACTCATGCCAACCGGTTATCTAACAGTCCCTATGTGCCAGGCACTATGCTTGACCCTCTGTCATGGAGAGAATATTCATTCGAGTGACACACTCTAGCCCTGCCAACTCACAAGGACTCACCAGATGGGGCCTCTGTCTCCCCATTAATAGAACCAAAAGCCTAGTCAATAACCACTCGAAATACTGGGCCTCAAACTCAGCTGTGCATTGGAGTCACATTAGAGGAGTTTTGACAAAGGATCGATGCCACATCCCAATCCATGAGGAGGTCTGATTTCAATGGTCTGGGGCTTGGCCAAGGCATCAGGGTCTTTGGAAGCTTCCCAGATGGTTTTATTGGGAAGCAACGTTGGAGAACCTCTGTTTCCTAGTTCTGCTGCATCTACAGCGTTCAAGGATTCTGGACACACACACACACACACACACACACACAGTGCATACCAAGAGACCACAGAGAAACCCAGAGGCAGATGGATGTGCATGCACACCCACACAGGACCATGTACCTGTCCACCTGAGGCAGGATAGTAAAAAGCTAGAAAAACTCCTTCACAGGAGGAATACGGGAAACTGAGACAAAACAATTAAACAAAGATAAACAATTGGAGCAATTTACACAGGCAAATGAATCACAAGTTTTTATCTTCCCTAACCAAGGACACTTAGGAGCAAATGGTTTACACAATTCAGACCGTCTAGGGCAGACCTGCCTCCGTCCCAGTCCCTCTCTGATGGCGCTCTTTGAAAACCAAACTCACCAGAAAACACCCTGACCCCTCTAAACACACATTTGGATGAATCAACATATTGATGGAAAGCTAATAAACATTCTGCTAAGACCTCCCCTGAGACCTCCCCTAGGGTTCCCACCAGCTAAAGAAAGATAAAAGCCTCATGACAACGGATCCTCGGCGGTCTCCCTAGAGCATGCCCATGCCCTGTACCTCAGCTCTCTTTCTCCTAAACTCTAAGGGCCTCAAGGAGACGTGCACCCAGGGGGCAGCGGGCAGCTGCAGCTCGTCGGGCTCACCCCCTGATCCTGTCCCCAAGGCCACCCTTTCCTCTGACTTTCCAGTAAGCTCATAGCATCCTGCCTCGGCTCACTTCTTTTTTTCTTTAATTCCCACCCAAGTATATATTTATTGGTTTTGAGACAGAAAGGGAAAGAGTGAGAAATATCAACGTGAGAGAGAAACACATAGCCTCTCGTACGTGCCCCAACCCCAGACGGAACCTACAACCTTTCTATGTGCCATGATTGGCCATTGAACCCATGACCTTTGGTTGTAGGGGACAACACTGCAACCAACTGAGCCACACTGGTCAGATCTTGGCTCACTTCTTCTGTGGTGACTTCTACTTCTCAGTGAGCCAAAGCAGCCCTGCCTAGGCTCTCTGCTGTCGTTTCTTCTACCTTAACCCCTCCGCTTCCGTTTCCAGCTTTCATAACCCGGGTGCAGGCCCACTAGACACAGCCATGCCCTGTCTCAGCTCTTTCTCTAAACTCTGAGGGTCGCCAACGAGACTTGCAACCAGGGGAGCAGCAGGCAGCAGGAGCTAGTCCTGGCTCACCCCCCGAACCTGTCTCCAAGGCCCCGTTTTTCTCTGACTTTCCAGCGAGCTGACAGCAGCCCCGCCTTGGCTCCCTTCTTTCCTATAACTTTTCTCGAGCCAAAGCTGCCCTGTCTGGTCTCTTTCCTGTTGCTTCTACCCTAAGCCCTTCTTTTGTGTCACTACCCCCGGGTTAATAAACGTAATCTCAAAATCACCTGGACTCACCATGTGAAATGTTTCCTGCATGAAGCCAATAACCCAAACACTACTGGCTGGTCCAAGGCGGATCCTCTCTGGCCCGGTCCCTGTTTGGCAACACACCCACCTAACTGCATAGGTATAAGTCAACATGTTCACACATGAAAAGCACACACACAGAGGTACACATGCAAACACAGAGAGGCACACCTGTGCACGTCCTCGTACACGCTTGTGGTATGACGATCTGCAGAGCCATCTGTGCCTGTCCACCTCGGAGAGGAACCCTGGCGTCGCTGGTAAGAGGCTGACCTCAGGGCTATCAGGGTCAGGGAGGTGCCAGAATCACACAAGGGCTGCCTTACCTTCACCAAAATTGGAATCCTAGGGACAAAATCCCTGAGGAACACACGAAAGTTGCCGTAGTGGCCCTCGTTGAGATAGTACAACAGTTTCCGCTGGCCACCTGGGAGAGGGGAGAGGGCAGAGGGCAGGACTGAGACTGACCATTGACGCTGAGGCTACCACCCCTGGGACCTGCCAGACCCTCTGCCCAGCACTAGATAACCCTTATGCCCTGTTCCAGGAGCCTCCCCTGATCCCCGGCAAGGTTGGAGCCTGTTTTCTAGGCTCCCGCTGCCTCTCAGGCACACCCCACCCCATCAGAGTTCCGCCGCTACTATTGATACTGATAATAATGCAACTAACATGCCATGAGCTATGGCCCGGGCATTGTTCCAACTGCTCAACAGATATTAAATCATCTAATCCTCCTAATAGCACCCTGAGTAGAGTAATGGACACTACTGTCCAACTGAGGAAACGGAGTCTTGCCAGAAGTTACACAGGAGAATGTGGCAGGGCTGGGATATGTCCCCAGGTCCGGCCCCAGGCCCTCTCTTCACCTCGGACCAGATTCCCTGAGCACCTTCTGTGGGACGCAAAGCAGAAGCCAAATGCCTTCTTAAGACATGATTGCATTATGGGTGCTGCTCAGGGGTCAGCTAACGTGTGGGTCCCCTCCCGAAAGGGCTGCCTGGTCAGCCACTTCACTTGTTCTCTGCGTCCTGGTGCTCTGGCCTCAGGGCACGGCTGATTCTGCAGACGCTACTCCTCCCGGGCTGGCTCATTGCGGGGACAGTGAAAGACGGCCCTGCACCGCAGACCAGCCATTTCCCGGCCCGCCACCCTCCTCCCTGTTGAGCTCTCACAGATGAGCCACTGTCCCCTCCCGTAATGATCCCGGGGCCGGCGACCAGAAAACTAGGGGAAGTTCTTACAGCCCAGAACCCTCGGAAATTGCTCAAACTAGTCACTCCTTGGTTTTCTCTGCCTCACTCATTCCTTTCCTCCAAAACTACACTGAACCTCTCACCCGTGCGGCCCTTCTCCTGCCTCCTGCCCCACCCCGAGCTTCCCCAGGTGGCCGGGCTGGCATGCCATAACTCCTGATCCTAGGGAACTTAAGAGTAAATTCTTCTTCTCTTGAGGCAATTATTTCTGTGTCTGCCTGTCTCATGTTCCCTGATTAAAGCAAATCCAATTACATCAAAAACAGTGCCCAGCTCTAACAACCAGAGTACAGTGCAATGGTCACCTCCTTCCATCAAATACTTGGCCTTTATTAATGCTGCCCTGAGCGGATGGCAGCTTCTCCCGAGCTCTGTAGACCCCTGACGCTCACCTACGACCCCAGAGCCTACGGACGACTACCAAACCAGTCTCCTAACAACCACTCTTAGTCTGTCCTTAAAACACTGATTTCTTCAACCTTTTTTTTTTTTATCCTCACCCAAGGACATTTTTGCATTTATCCTCAGATAGAGTGGGGGAGAGAGAGGGAGGAAAAGAGAGAGAGAGAAACATCAATGTGAGAGAAACACATCAACTGGCTGCTACCTGCACGACCCCAACCAGGGCTGGGGACAAACTGCAACTGAGGTATGTGCCCTTAGCAAGAACCAAACCCAGGTCTCTCTGGTCAACCGGCCCACGCTCTAACCACAAACCGGCCAGGGCTCTTCAACCTTTTACAGGGATTTCTGTGCACATTGGGGGTATTTCATAACATCTGGACATTTAGTTGCCCAGATCTTTCTGCACATTGACTTTTTCTCCCTGCGTCTTCCCCGCACCACCTTCTCCCCGGTGTCCGTCAGCCCCATCCTCTGCTCTCTCTCAGCTGCCGTCACTGACCCTGGGTCCTGTGCCCGCAGCCCAGTTGTCATCCCTAAGCCAGTTGGTCATGGGAGTTAGTCAGCTCTGCTCCAGGTCTCTGCCAATTCAAAGGCCCCAGCTTCCCGACAGACAGACCGGGGCTCAGCTGTGCCACGAACTAGCTTTGCTGCCTTGGACAAGTCGCTTCTTCTCTCTGAGCTTCAACATCTCTGCCTATGAAATGGGAGCGACCCAAACTGCCTCACAGAATTGCTGAGGGGAAATGATGTGAAATAGAATTTCTCACATAATAGATCCTAATCACTGGAAGCTCTTCCGATTGTGAAAATAAAAATAATAAGCCCCAGTCCTGGCCGGTTTGGCTCAGCAGTTAGAGCACTGGCTCGAGGACCAGAGAGGCCCGGGTTCGGTTCCCGCCAGGGGCACGTACCTCGGTTGCGCTTTGTCCCTGGCCCTGGTTGGGGTCGTGTGGGTGGCAACCACTAAATGTTTCACGTCGATGTTTCTCTCTCTCTCTCCCTCCTGCTCTATCTGAAGATAAATGCGGGAGTGTCCTCTAGTGAGGATCAAAAAATAAATAAAATAAATAAATAAATAATAAGCCCCCAAACCCTCATAACTTAGACTTTTGTTGAATGATGGCTGAAATCATACGCCCCAAAGTACAATGTTCTATAGTGAGACACTTTGTGAGAAAATGAAATTAGAGGGCCCATGTGCCTTTAGGATACAAAGGTATGAGACAGGCATTTGTCAAACAATACGGAAGATTAAAAGGATTTAGAAATAATGCCCAGCTTGTGTGGCTCAACCGGCTGATGTGGCTCACTGGTTGAGCGTTAACCCATGCACCAGGGGTCACCAGTTAGGTTCCCAGTCGGAGCACATGCCCAGGTTGAGGGCCCATACACAGTCGAAGGCATGTAGGAAGCGGCCGATCGAGGTTCTCTCTCATAGATGTTTTTCTCTCTCTCTTCCTTTCCCTTCCTCTCTCTCTAAAATCAATAAAGAAAAAACATATTATATAAAAAAGAAATATTAATGTATCAGTCGCCATAAAGCTTCAAAGGTAAAGGGCACTAACCCAGAGCGTGAGTCTATTCATGTGTTCGATGTCATCGTGAACTTGAGTTTCTGCTTAGCTGCCTTGGTGAGAACAGCAGCCCCCCACTCCCACTCCTGTCCCCAAATCACAATCAATAAAAGCATTCCTGAGCCCTGGCCAGTTTGGCTAAGCGGTTAGAGCATCAGCCTGTAGACCAAAGAGTCATGTGTTCGATTCTGGTCAAGGATACTTACCTTGGTTGCAGTTCAAACCCTAGCCCTACTCAGGGTTGTGTGGGAGGCAACCACTCAATGTGTCTCTCTCACATCAATGTTTCTCTCTCTCTCTCCCCCTCTCCCTCCCACTCTATCTGAAGATAAATGGAAAAATATCCTTGGGTGAGGGTATGAAAGAAACTCTGCTGAGATGGTAGACCTCAATGGTCAAAATGTTTACTGTTACCCTTCAAATGTCACCCTTAACCTCCAAACTATGAAACCAACAATATTACCTCGTGCTGTTGTTGTAGAATGAGTATTTTCTCACTGTATCTCTGGGAAACACTTGCTTGAAAAGTTAAGGTGCACACCTGCACACGGGTGTCTGCTCTCCTGAGCTGTCCTCCATGACCTCTGTCCATAAACAGACTAGGAACTCATCGTCTACTCAGGAAGAATAAAGACCCTATTGTCTCCCTCCCAGGCTATGTGAGAACAACTAAATAATCATACCAACAGGTTCTTTTCTGTAGCTAATTTGAAGCTTGTTTTCCCCTAACGAAGAACCCAGGGGGAAACACAGACCCTCTGCCCATCCTCTGCCCCAGGCCTGGGGACACCTGGGCAGTGCCCCCCCGCCCCGTCTTGGCCCACACACCAGGCTCCAGCACAGCTTTCTTGGCCATGATGTTGACAGCAGCTATGTACACTGATTCCGCGTAGAAGCGGCCGGGCTCCGCAATGACTTTAATGCCAGTTCCCTCGGGGAAGTCCTGGGCTAGGGCTGCGTTGATCACTCTCGCCATCTGCAGGGACAGACCCGAACCCTGTGAGGCCAGTTCCTAGGCACGCTCTTTACCTGCATCTTCTCTCTTCATTCTGGTGACAGGTGTGTGGGAAGGTGGCATCATCCCCACTGTACAGGGGAGGAAATAGGTAAACCATGGCCCAGAGAGGGGAAGTTGTCCAAAGCCATACCGCAAGTGTGTAGGCTGTAAGACCTGAGAGTCTGACCTGGGAACCATTGAAATAAATACCTGATCAGCAAAGACAGACTGTCCCCTGGGTGTGGAGGATACAGCAAGTAAACATCTATCTGACTGTAGCTTCACCAGGAGAGTAACTGACACGTCTAAAGAAGGTTCAGGGACACATACACACACGTGAGCTTGTATATGCCCACAGGCCACATATGTAGAGTCAGGGACCTCTCCACAAAGACAAACCCCAGCACACGCAGGCACATGATGCAGTTACAAAGGCTCCCTGTACAAAACACACACTGTCTGCTAAACCCCAGATGGGACACCTGACCCCTCTCCTCCTGCCCTCTTACCTCCTCAAACTCAGGCTCGGAGCCCTCCACGCCGGGGAAGCCCCCTCCGATATCCAGCAGGCTCATGTCGTGCCCGACCCCACGGCCCATCTCGAACACGCGCCGGCAGTCAGCAATGGCCTGTGCGAAGCTCTGGGGATTCTGGCAGCCCGAGCCCACATGGAAGCTGATGCATGCCGAGTGACAGGTGGAGAAACACATGAAGAAATGGAAGGTTAGCAGGAAGATATACACACTTGGAAACACGACACAGGCACAATGTGGAACCAGCGAGGAAGAGACATAGGACACGTGAGTACGTGGAGCCTGTGGGCACCCACAGAAACTGCAGCCTTGGCCATACACGTGGGGATCTCAGATACACATATCCCACGTGACCATCCTTGAGTGGGACTCTTGTGGTTGTGCAGCAGTCACCTCTCTTAGTTGTCCCATCCTGAAGCCTCATGGCAGGGGCTCTGCTATGTCTCCTCCTTGGAAGGCACCTGACTGAACCCCGAATCGCAAGCCATCCTGCATGGAGGGCTGAGGACCCAGTCAAGGGGTGGTGTTGTGACTGAGTGAGGCTCTATCCACAGGTATGACATTTAAGGGGCACCAAAACTCTAAGGCATCAAGATAAGGAACATTTCTAATATAGATATATAGTTTGTTTGTTTGTTTTATTTTGTTTTGTTTGGGAGAGAAGGCAAGAGAGAGAGACTTCAATCGGTTGCCTCCTGTACATACCTCAACAGGGGCTTGAACACACAATTCCCAGCCTGGGTATGGGGCCCTGACCTGGAATCGAACTAACCGCCTTTTGGTGTAGGGGATGACATGCCAACACACTAAGCAACATCGGCCAGGACTTATGCAATATTTTTGACAAGGAAAATTGATGCAAAAATATCCACGATGAATACAATCAGAAACTTTAAATAAAGACAAGGTTGGCTAACAGTTATTGGACCCTGAAGCAAAGGGAAAAATCAGAAATGCCAATCCTGTCTTGATTTAAAACTTTGATATGCTCTCATCATGGATTTTTCTACAATAATTTTTTTTTAAATACTGTATTGAAACATTAGTATAAAGTTTTCTGACATCCTGTTAGATTTTGCACCCAAGGCCAGTGCCTGGTTGCCCCACCCTCATATCAGATGACTTCCACCTGCTCTGCCCAGGACACGCAACAAGAGGCCCCCAGGGCCACGCTGACCCTGGGGCACCCAGTAAGTCAAAGGCTGGGGACAGGTGATGGAGACCAGGACCCTGCTCGTGGGCAGAGAAAGTCAGTGCTCTTACCTGACTCCGACCACAGCCAAGCCTAGGTCTCGGGCAGACTTGAGCAAATGTCCGCACACCTCCAGGCGGGCCCCAAACTTGGCGCTCAGAGGATACACGCTCATGCTGTCATCAGTCCATAGCCTGAGGACCAGCCTGAGAAAGGGGTGTGAGGGTGACAGGCATTCGTAGACACATGAACCCCAAGTCTGAATGCTTTACCAGCTCCACCCAAACTCCCTACAACCTCCCACGACCCCTGCCTAGTCCCTCTGGGCTTCCCAGCCATGGAGCCCCAAGGAGGAACCCACCACTACTTACAGACTACTGCCCAGACAAGAAAAAGCAGGAAAAGGATAAAACTATAAATATCCCTTCAGCAGACCTCCTATTACAGGATTAGATTTATTAAATAGCTGTCCCAAGAACACACAGATGTGACAAATTAGTCACAAATGTGAACCTGGTCCCACTGAATCCCATGTGAGCGCCTTTTCCGCGAGTGCTGACCCCAGACCTCCTACTGACGGGCTCTGCCCTGTCTATGCAGACACAGGCGATGTTCTTTGACACCAGTGAGCACCAGAAAAGGCACTGGGCCACCTCACCCGAATTCTAGTACTTTGCTGCTTTGGCTTCTTCTTGTCACCACATGTAACAGCTTTCATCTCCCCGCTGATGCCCAAGTGAGTGTGCCAGAACCCCCAGCCTGTGGCCCCTTGCTCCACCTGCACACACACACACACACACACACCCCGCAGCCCTGCGGGTCTCACCTGGCCCCGGGGTGGTGCTGGGCCACCTTGGGCAGCTCCACCTCACAGTCGAAGGTCAGGAGCTGCACCCCATGGCGGGCAGCATACTGGAGGTATGAGGCAGGCTTGCAGGGGTGGGTGTAGATGATGCGTGAGGGGGCCACGCCCAGGCCCAGGATCTGCTCCAGCTCCCCCTGGCATGGGTGACAGCCAGAGTAAAGAGATGCTTTCTGCTGTCTTATTCTTTGGGGACAGGAACCATGGGCATGAGGGGCTGTCCTAAACTGAACCCCTCCTGTGTCCCTGGCTCAGCACTTGGCACATATTGTGCTATTTAAGCTTCTAGACTACTCTAAGGGACATATGGTTGACCCCTTTTAAAGACAAAGAATCTGAGGCCCTGGGGAAATGGCTGTGTCAGGACAGAACAGTGTCTGTCCCCTCCGCTCACTAGCCCAGGCTGACTGCCCTTGTCACCTAGATGTAGTTCATTCATTTATTCTTTTGAGAACAACTGAGCACCATAGACATCAGCCATTCTTTAGGGGCCACTGTCTCTACTCCAGGATCCCCGGTGATTGGTCATTCTCCCCAGGAAGTGTCAAGCCTATGCATGGGGCAGTGGACCCAGGCTCACCTGGCTGGCACAGTCAAAGCCAATGCCCAGGGAGGCCAGGACTCGCAGCACCCAAGGGCTGTTGTTACACTTCACCGCATAGAAGGGCGAGACCCTTGGCAGGGCCTGGCAGAAGGCCCGATGGCGGCTCACCAACACACCCAGGTCAGCCACCATGAAGGGATCTCGGTGGTCCTGCCAAGGCAGAGAGGAGGTAACAGGCTGGGTGTTGTGTTGTTTCATTGAACCCTCACAATATCTCCATGCAGTAAGTACTACTAGTATTACCAGTTTAGAAAAGAGGAATCTGAGGATCTGAAATATGTCATTGCGCCAAGGTTAAAAGCAAGTACATGGCAAAGATTGGTGTTGAGCCCTATCTTCTGACTCTTACAACAGGAAGTCAAGAAGGCAACAGGATTTGTAGACCAAACAGAGGCCAGGACTCTCCAACCCTCACCTGCACAGCTTGGCACAGGGTACAACGCGAAGAGCTGATGGGGGACTAGAAGGGGACAGAAGAACTATTCCATGACCCCCAGGGAACAGAGCCTTGGAGTAAGACCTAGTAAACTCACTTATGAAACCCCAGACAAAAGGTCTTATTTTGTGTTTATCTATGTGGCAACTGAGACTCACCCTCTCCGCTCTCCACCCTGTGCCCTCCCCTCCCCTCCCCATCCTTACCCCCTCCTCCCCTCCCCTCCATTCCCTCCCTCTCCTCCCTCCCCTGCATACCGAATCAGAGAGCTCCCGAATCTTCTTCAATGCCACCTCCCTGGCAGATTCCCCAGGCCCCAGGGGGATGAAGTCTTCAGGCCAGGTGCTTCCTGAACTCTCCTTCGGGTCCACAAGTAGGGTGCTCATCTTTAACACTCCACCAGAGCCTTGCCAGGCACAGTGCCAGCTGCCAAGAAAGGGCTTGCTCTGAGGACCCAGCACCCTCCCTCCTCCCAGCTCCCCCCGTCCCCTGGACCAGAGTTGGGCCAGTAACTCCATTCAGCCACATGGAGCTCCATGGAGACCTTGTGAACTCTCCCACCTGTGGAATGACCACCATCCAGGCCCAGCCTGCTTCAGAGACCTAGTGAGGGACCAAGCAATATGCATAAAATGAGCACCTACAAAAGATGGTTGGCATCCTCTTCCAGGCTCCTCCACACGTGTTCCCATTCACCGATGAGAAATGTGACCCACAGAAAAGATAAGTGCAGAGTCCAGGGTCTTTAGATTACAGGGCTATCTGGGACCAAGGGCATGATCTAGTCCAACATTCCACTTTACACACATGGACAGTGACCCAGAGAGAGGAAAGTAGTTGGTGGCAGAGTTAGGACTGCCACGTGGGCTCCCGAGAGCAGCCACTGGGCCTGCTGCTGGCTACCCATTCCTGAGGCTGAAGTGAGGGCAGCCTGCAGCGTGGGTCCTTCTGTTTCAGCAGTTGGGTTGTAACCATGGACCCTGCTCCACTCCCAGACTCACCTGGGCCCTAACGTGACAGCCAGGAGACAGGAACCTATGGTATCCTGGGCTTTTGGCAAACCCCTGTGTCAGACTAGACCTCAGGGCCAGAGGAAGTACCACCGAAGGTTATTTTTCCAAAGCTTGGCCACCTCTTCCCACTCAGTCAAACCTCCCAGACCCTGGGTGGCCCACACAGAGGCCCACAGGGTGGTTGGACTCCTGTTATAAGTAAATGTCAGCCGTGAGCAGAGTAGACAGACCCTGGAAACCCAACCACCCACCCTTCCCACCTCAAAGATGGAAAAATCGTGGAGCTCAGAGGTCCTTGGATGTTTCAGCAAAGCTGAGTTGGATCTGGAAGTAGAATGAACTTCAGTCCACGAGCAGAGCATGAGCAGGTCTCTCCCGTTGTGGTATCTCTGCCCTCGCTGCGCATTTAAGTATCTGGCTGGGAGTGTTTCTGATTGGAAAGGTAAGCCCTCTGCATCACTTAGTGTCCAGTCACATCTCCCCTCCTCCTCCCCACCTCCTCCCCTCCTTCTCCCCACCTCCTCCCCTCCTCCTCCCCTCCTCCTCCCCTCCTTCTCCCCTCCTCCTCCCCACCTCCTCCCCTCCTCCTCCCCACCTCCTCCCCACCTCCTCCCCTCCTTCTCCCCTCCTTCTCCCCACCTCCTTCCCTCCTTCTCCCCTCCTTCTCCCCACCTCCTCCCCACCTCCTCCCCTCCTCCTCTCCTCCTTCTCCCCTCCTCCTTCCCACCTCCTCCCCTCCTTCTGCCCTCCTTCTCCCCTCCTTCTCCCCACCTCCTCCCCTCCTCCTTCCCTCCTTCTCCCCTCCTTCTCCCCACCTTCTGCCCTCCTTCTCCCCTCCTTCTCCCCACCTCCTCCTCTCCTTCTGCCCTCCTTCTCCCCTCCTTCTTCCCACCTCCTCCCCTCCTGCTCCCCTCCTTCTTCCCACCTTCTGCCCTCCTGCTCCCCTCCTGCTCCCCACCTCCTCCCCTCCTGCTCCCCTCCTCCTCCCCACCTTCTGCCCTCCTGCTCCCCTCCTCCTCCCCACCTTCTGCCCTCCTTCTCCCCTCCTTCTGTTGTAACCCAGGAGATCGACCAAACTCAGACGCCAAGATGGGGTTTAATAAAAGGAGTTTATTGAGCTAAGTCCGCAGGCACCTGCAGTATGTCCCACACAGGAGTAACTGCGGCCCTGGAGAGCTAAAATGGCTCCTCTTTATAGGATTTTGTAAGGGGGGTGCTACGTGTAAGCAAGCGTGTTACAGAAGCGGAATTTAGCAGTTAGTTAATTACCTGTTACTCAGTTTCCCAGATATCTCAAAGGTCAAGATGTTTTCAATATGGTGCCGACCCCAGGATTACTCAAGGGTTAGTTATTACCCCAGGGTTAGTGATTACTTAGGGATTAGTTAGTGAAGAATGTTCTTCAGTAAATGAGTAAACTGACAACCCCTTTGGTTGTCGTGAAGGCCTCTGGGAGTTTGGGTCAATGGCACTGAGTTATAACACTTCTCCCCACCTCCTCCCCTCCTTCTCCCCTCCTCCATTTTGAGGCAGATGGCCTCCGTTTCATCACCCACCAGATGGGGATAATGTCCACAATACCTCACAGGCAGTTGTGAGGATTAAATGAGAAGAAAGGAGATACACCTGCGAAGAGTTTAGCAAGGTGCCAGCGTATGATAGCATCACACTCGGGACAGCAACAACGGCCAACAGCACCAAGCCCTGGATAAGTGTCAGGCACTGTAACTCAGTGGGTCTCACGGCACTAATGAGAAGGTTCTATCCAGGGCCAGGTACGTAATCTGCGGGACCCAGGACAAAGTGAATCTATGTCAGATAGGCGACCCGCAAGGAACTGCAACTTTAGCACCGGGATGAGCTCAGTGTCTGGATTAAGGGTGGCCAAGAAGCTCCTACTGAGTCACCTGCCCAGTCACCAGAAGGAACCCACACTCCTTCTCATCCTCCCTTCCCTCCCTGTGGAAGGAAAAGCTGATGGGCTCAAAAGAAGAAGAAGGCCCAGGTCCTCCAGCGAGTTGGTGGGGCCTGGTTTTCACTCGGCCCTGCACGTGGCAGATCCTGAATCGCTTCCGCTTCTCTGGCCTGGAGCAGGAACTGGCCTTTTCCATGTGCAGGTTTAAATATTTCTACAAGTTTAAACATTTCACTGAAAGCTTCTCCGAATGGGAAAGTCGCCTGTACCCCATCAGGCCATAGAGCTGGGCTGCACCCTCCCGTCTTCCTCCGCCCTTCTCACCTCCATGGTGCCTACCTCTCATTGTCACCACCTCTTTAGGCAGGCTGCCAGGGCTCACGATGTCACCTGCTGACCCCTCCTAGGCTTCCACCAACCTGGGAAGCCCCTCTTCCTTCAGGCTGGTTCCCTTCCTGTGGGCCTCCGGGCCTCTCCTGACATTTCCTGGGGAGGAGATAGCAGGCTGAGTCTCTGGGCCTGCCCGGAGGCTTCTCTAGAAGCTGCTAAACCCAGGCCAGACTGGGGGAGGTGCTAAGGATCTCAGGGACAAAGAACTCAGGCCCTCGGTCCTTCTACCCCAGGAGCGCCTTGAGGAGGGAGGCGGCTTGTCTCATGAACTCAACCTAGCATTTGGGGTCACGAGTTAGCTATGGAGGGATATCGGATAGGGTGGTGGTGAATAGAATGTATTATTGAATGTTTACTCACTACCAAGCACAGTGGCCTGCGTCAAACCATTTAACACTCACAAAACCTTACGGATGATGTTGCAATTATCTTACACGTAATAAAACCAAGTCACAGAGAGGCAGAATAATAATGTCAACTTAAAAGGATTACAGAGAGTGCATAAGACAATACATGGGTAAATCTATGTCTGACACCTTCATGACCCTGATTAAGAACTTATTCAAGCCCTGGCTGGTTTGGTTCAGTGGTTGTCTGGAGAGACCCGGGTTTGGTTCCTGCTAAGGGCGCATACCTCGGTTGCAGTTTGTCCCCGGCCCTGGTTGGTCGTGCGGGTGGCAGCCACTCGATGTGTCCCTTTCGCGTCGATGTTTTTTTTCTCTCTCTCTCTCTTTCTCTCTCTCCCTCCCGCTCTATCTGAACAAAAAATGGAAAAATGTCCTCGGGTGAGGATAAAAAAAAAACACAAAACTCATTCAATTAGTTCATGATAATAATGATGTTGGCATTATAAGAGATCATCTAAACCAGGGATTTTAAAACTTTTTGTCTTAAAACCTAAAATATGGACCCTATAGTGGATATGATTCATGTCTTATGGCTGCCCAACATCTGTGTACACACCTCCTCTAACTCTTCCTCCTGCCACGTGGAAGCAAGAAATCGACCTTCCCAGACTCCCTTGTAGCCAGGGTCTGTGAGAATGTGACATGAGTCTTATGAGATGTATCTGAAGGCATGAGTATCAGCTAGTGTTATAAAAGTGACTGTAGCAGGCATGCAAGTAATGGTAAAATAGTAGTTAATAAAATTATTACCTGTGCTCACCTGGAATGATCTGATCTTGTAGAAAATAAGGCTTTCAGGACCAAATGTTTGCTGCCATAGAATGGCACACAAGACACAGATTAGGGGTGGAGTAACTTCTAGATATATGAGAGAATTTAGAGAAATAAAAGGGTAAGCTCAGAGTCTTATTTTATTGGCATAAGACATGACCAGAGGATCAAGAACTTTCTATGACTCAACTATGGAGAATATGTCATCTCTTGCAGCTAAGAGAAAGAGGAGCCAATAACTAAAACTAAAATCAGAATTTAAGAATATAAGTTGTTTCTTTTGCTGTGCAAAAGCTTTTTAGTTCAATGTAGTCCCACTTATTAATTTTTCCCTTTGTTTCTCTTGCTTTAGGTGTTATATTGGTGAAAATTCTGCTGCGTGTGACGTCTGAAATTTTGTTGCCTACATTTTTTTTCTAGATTATTAAGGAGTCACGAGGAATAATTAAGTCGTCTGTCCATTTTGAGTTTATTCCTGTGTATCACGTAAGTTGGTGGTCTAGTTTCATTTTTTGCATGTAGCTGTCCAATTTTCCCAACACCATTTATTAAAGAGGCTGTCTTTACTCCACTGTATGCTCTTGTCATCTTTGTCAAATATTAATTGAGCATGCTGTCTTGGGTCGATTTCTGGATTCTCTGTTCTGCTCCATTGATCTATATGCCTGTTCTTGTGCCAGTATCAGGCAGTTTTGATTACAATGGCTTTGTAGTATAATCTTATATCTGGTATTGTGATTCCTCCTACTTTGTTCTTCTTTTTCAAGGTTGCTGTGGCTATTCAGGGTCTTTATTGGTTTGATATAGACTTTTGGAGTATTTGTTCTTGTTCTATGAATTATGTCATTGGTATTTTATTGGGGATTGAATTCAATCTAAAAATTTCTTTG